CATGCAGCACCGAAAAGTAAAAAAAAAATTGGTTAAAAATTAAACTATTTTTTTCAAAGAGGTTGTGGGACTGCCAGGGGAGGTGTGGCTAGGGCTGCTTAAACAGAAACAGAAGCTGCCTCTTGAGTTTAGTTGTTGTAACGGCTACCCAGGTAGTGAGAGGGTATCAGCCGTTGGAGATGTCCTTTTTCCCGGCAAGTAGCTGTGTAGTAGTGGAGTTGCTTATTCCCATCCACGAGATCCAAGTGAAGAGTCAGGCAGAGCTATTAAAGAGCAAAGTGGTTATGCTGTAAATCCCCTTCCAAGAATGAGACAAGGCTACGTTTTGAAGGGTCAAGAAGAACTGAATTTTAATGGCAGGTACTCTCCTTTTATGTGATTCTGCCCATGCAAGGGAGACACCCATATAATTAACAAAACAACCAATGAAACATAAGGTACATCCCACACATCTCCTCCCCTCAGATAAACTTGCAACCCAATTAACACAGTCACATTTTCCCCCAAATTTCGGATGTACCCCAAATACCTGGAGTACACAGATAGCCCTATTCTGGGGGACCAACATATGTAAAAATCAGTTCATTCGGTTCAGTGGTTCGGGAGATATGGGGCTTTAAAGTTTTGACCGACCGCACAGGCAAAATAGCCAAAAATAGTTCCATGAGTTTTGGCCTTGCGGTCGGTCTTTGTTCATGCGTTAAAAGTTCAGAAAGGGCTTGCCATCCGTGTATAACTTGACAGAATCCCCATATGCTACTTAGTCTTTCTTCCGAACGGCAGGGTGTTCGGTAGTTTTGGCAGGGGCGTATTAGCCGCGAGGCAAACAAGGCATTTGCCTTGGGCGGCATTTTTCAGGGGGCGGCAAAAAACGCCGCCCCCCAAATGCCCAGGGCAAATGTCTTGTTAGCCTCGCGGCTAACAGACATTCTGGGCGCTGGGTGGCAGTGGCTGCAGCGCTGGGCGGGCGCCGAGGGAGCTCTTCCCCGAGCGCTCTGCTCAGCTCCCTCGCGCGCCGCCAGCAGAGTGAGGCTGGGAGCCGGGTTGATGACGTCATATTCCGGCTCCCAGCCTCACTCTGCTGGCGGCGCGCGAGGGAGCTGAGCAGAGCGCTCAGGGGAAGTGCTCCCTCGGCGGCCGCCCGCCCGCCCTGCAGCCACTGGACCCCAGGGAGAGGAAGAACCCCCCAGCATTACCAAAGGTAAGGAGGCTGGGGGGGGTTAAATAAAAAAATAAAAAAAAAACACTAGTGAGTGTGTGTATGTCTGCTAGTGTGTATGTTAGTGTATGTATGTTAGTGTGTGTATGTTAGTGTGTGTGTGTGTTAGTGTGTGTATGTTAGTGTGTGTGTGTGGATGTCTGTTAGTGTGTGTATGTTAGTGTGTCTGTTAGTGTGTGTCTGTTAGTGTTTGTGTGTTAGTGTTTGTGTGTTAGTGTGTGTATGTTAGTGTGTGTGTGTATGTTAGTGTTAGTGTGTATGTTAATGTTAGTGTGTGTCTGTTAGTGTGGATGTCTGTTAGTGTGTGTGTTTGCCTGTTAGTGTGTTTTTGCCTGTGAGTGAGTGTCTGTTAGTGAGTGTGTGTTTCTGTTAGCTAGTGAATGTGTGTATTTGTCAGTGAATGTGTGTGTCTGTATTTAGAAGGCGGAGCAGGGGGGAAGGTTGGGAGGCGGTTGCGCGGGTGGGGGTGGCGCGGGGGGGTGCCTGAGTTTTGTCCTGCCTAGGGCAGCACAAAACCAGGATACACCACTGAGTTTTGGCACGAATTTCTGGTACTATGGAGGTAGTGTTTGCCTACTCGAGTGTCCGATTTTAGTTCCAGACACTCAACGGCAAAACACCGCTGTCAAGATGGCCACGACCACGTGTAAAAGTCCCGAAATTGCGGCCACCAAGGAACTGAAACAAAGCATTCGTGAATTTCCCATAAGAGATGAATGTGCAGATCAGGGAGGTAAATTACCACCTAATTAGGTAGCAGGGGGGGTCCGCTGTTCAGTGGTTTGCATTCGTACGGTGAATGCTGGGACCATACCATCTGGGTCGCACAAGGAAGCGAACGCTGTTTTAAAGAATAATCCCCACGAAACAGGTAAGCACGTTCAATTATATCCAGTTTGATATCTTTTGCTGGATAAACAATCTGTCTTTATAATCCGAGGTCTCTGTTCCTGTATATGTGCTCGGCTAGCTCTTAAAGGGCCGGTAGCAGTAAATATTCCCTGGCATAAGGTAGGGTTTTGTTACAGTTGTAATAATCTAAACAAACTAGGAATTAACAGGACAGGTTGTCTTATCGACTGCAACCAGGTTAATTCCTAAAAGTGCCAATTGCTACAGAAATTTTCACTTTTTGTGAAATTTAAAAAAACATACACTATTCACAGATCAAGCACTTTAGCAAGCTATAGTGATTTAGGGGTGTGGAGTGTCCCTTTAAGCTAAAGTTGTTTTGCTGCTTAGAGTGTCCCTTTAAGCTGGTCCTTTGTACTAATTCATGCCCAATATTTTGAAACATTTACTTTGCGAATACATGTTTAACTTGTTATGCAACTTCAGTGTTTTGTACAGTATTATATTGTACAGTACTACTCTGTTTCCACTTTCCCAGCTTATAATCATGAATGTTTATGTGAAGCTATATTTGTTAAGCACCCAAAATAAAGAGTTTGCATTTTGATGTGAAATCATTATGAGAAAATGATGCATGTGGCAACTCTTGCAAAAACTCAGTCACTAGTTTTAAACATTTAGTAGATATGCCCCACACCTGGGGACATATGGAGGTAAAATACCTCCAATATACTAATATGGTGGTCTAATTGACCCCTAAAGTATTTTTTTGTTTGTTTTTTTGCTGCTACATAATTAAAGGGACACTATAGTCCCAGGTCCCTTAACCATGAAAAGGTAAGTATTGCAGTTTTTAATAACTCTACCAGACAGCCATTAGAAGGATTTCCGGGTCGTTAGGCAATTTTAAGTCACCAACTGATGCTAGACGTCTACATGCAATGCACAAGAACATGCAGTGTCACTCAAAACCCCACGGTAAAGCATTCTATAATGCTTTCCTTTGGGGGAAGTTCTATTGCGAGTGTGGCCATTGTTACGCATGCGCATTACGTCTCCCTCGCTGACGTCCGGCTTTCGGTCAGGCTGAAATTCAACCAATTTACAGCCTGTTTAGGTCCTGAATTACAAAATCTGGGCATTGTTGAATTCCATGAACAATGTCCAGATTTTGCAATTTGAATGGCCTTGTACCGCAGTGAATGGTTTTGTCCCATTCAGTAAGAGGCCATTTGTATTTTAGTAAATAACTCTGCATGTCTTTCCTATGAACCAGTGTATGGAGAAGAATCCTCATCCAGCTCATGGACCTGAACAGAAAATAGCAGAAGAGTATGGATGTCCTGTCCTAGAAGAAAACTATTCAATAAGGGGATGTTTCCAATCCATGATAGCTTAAGATTCCTCTAAGAGGGTGAAGAGAGTTTACAAATAGATTGACTGTACTTTGTTTGTAAGATTATATTCCACAATGTGAAATAATGATTCCGAGTTAGATTGTAGTAAATATGAGTAGTTGCCATACTGATCTATTCCCATTATATTCGGTAGATCACCACTAATATGTGACAGAAAAGTTTTCCCCTGGAACACTAAGGAAGGGGGAGCATGACTGCTACCCAAGACTGTGGGCTGGGTCAAGAAGGTTACAATTGTAACAAAGTTGGGGTTCTTGAGGAAAAGGAGAGGGAGGGGACTTACCAGTCGGCAGGATCAGTTGAGGGCTCCTGACTGTTTTCCTGGCTGACTGTCCCCTGTATTTCAAACATTACAAACTGAGATTTATCACATCAACTGCGATTTCTACCCTCATCCTGCTCACCTTCCTGTTGCTGTCATGGCTGCCCCTGCTGCTGACTTGCAGAGGCTTCTGCAATCTTACCTGGAGGACCACGGTCAGGGATAAATTGGTGTCAGGTGTGATGAGCGTTGCCCCTGCTGATGGAGGGATATCCGGTCAGCCTGCAGTCCCTGGCGGACGGAGGGCCAGGAGATTGAGGCCTCCGTCGCGCCTTTCTTCAAGCCCGGTCCGTCAGCGTGAGCGGAGGTGAAGTGGCAGCTTGGCCTGGCACCCAGAACGGCCATCGGTACCTGTGAGACGGAGGACTCGGGCTGCTGAGGTCGGCGGTGTCTTGGCCCAAGATGACGGCGGCAGCAATGGTTGAGGTATGGCTGGAAGATCAAGCAGTCCGTGCTCTTCTCTTTCGGCCCAACCGGAAGTGTTGTCATCACGCACTGCACGCGGCGTGCGCATGTAGGAAGAAAACGTCAACACGCGCGTACGTGACGGCATCGCGCAGGAAAGCACGGCCATCACAGGCCTTTCGTTCAATGGTGGTTGCGCCAGTGATGGAGCCGGCGGTCGGCAGTAGGACGCACAACAGAAGATCGCTGTCAGGCCAGGAGGCCGGCCGTGGGGTCCCCCCTTTCCTCTCCAGGGTCCAGTTCCAGTTCAGAAGAGGAGGAAGCCCAGCATCCGCAGCCAGCGAGCTTGGGATGCGCTAGCTAGGGATAGGGGAAGCATGGGTAGTGGGTTACTGGGACAAGAGGTGCTGGGGTTGCTTAGGGCAGTGTTAGATAGGCTCCCGGGAGGGGACCCTGCTTGTCCCCAGTCCCATGCGCTCTCCCTGCCCAGTCCCATGAACAGGATAGGGGTCAACTGAGTGTGTGTTCAGGTGGGGCATGGTGGTGCTTGCCAGGCTGCGAGCTGTGCCCCCTGGGGATACACGTGGCTCTGGACATTAAGGAGAAGATTTTCAAGGGTGACTTCATGGACTTATTGTCCCTGGTCCCCCTGGACCGGGAGTCCGTGGATAGACCGCGTTGGGGGGACACTGCGGACGGCGAGAAAGGTAAGCTGCCACGGACGTTTGGGAACTGGCTGCAGGGGTTCTTCATTTTTGCAAGCATTCTGATGTGGGCCTTTCCTGAGAAGGCACCAGCGTTATTTGGGTACCCAGATCTTATTTGGGGGCGTATAAGGTTTATGGGTTCCGATATGACCAACAATTTCGTCAGAAGCTGGCGATGTGTCTGGGTATGGACTTTGGAGTCCAAGATGGGAGCCTTTGGCTCTTGCTGATGACCCCCAGTGGTCCGCCCCCCTTTCCTGGCGCAGCCGGCGGACCGCCCAGTGTGCAGGCGGGGCATCGCAGGGGAGTCTGTTGGCTCTTTAACGAGAGCCACTGCAAGTGGTTTGGATCCTGTCGATTCAGGCACGAGTGCTCTCAAGAAAGGCAAGCAAGGTGGCAGACCTGCTAGGGAGGATATAGGATGCCGGTGAACGTGCTAAGGATGTGCCCGTGGCTCGACTATTACCCAAAGCGTAAGGAGGTGCAGGTTATCCATTCGGATTCCCCGTCGTTTGCTGACAATCTGCATTCGGTTGTGGGTAAGGAAGTGATTTTAGAGGATAAGCTTGGGAAAGAAGTTTGTTTGGGCAGGATGGCTGGTCCGCTCGACTCGTTGCCATTTTACAATTTATGGGTATCCCCACTGGGGTTGGTTCCCAAGAAGTACCCGGGGTCTTTTCGTCTCATTCACCACCTTTCCTAACCGTTGGGCGGGTCAATGAATGATGACATTGATAAGGAGGAGTCGCATGTCCGATAAGCCTCCTTTGATTGGGCATTATGGTTGGTTCGGGATGCAGGGATGGGAGCTCAGTTGGCCAAGTCGGACTGCTCCCGGTCCACCCGGACTGTTTTCACTTGTTGGGTTGCCTGTTTCAGGGTTCCCTTTTCTTCGATATGTGTTTGCCGATGGGTTGCGCTATTTCTTGTTCTTATTTTGAAATGTTTGCATTGTTTCTTGAATGGGTGGTCTCTTGGGTTTCGGGTCCATCATCTCTTACGCACTATCTGGATGATTTTTTGTATGTGGGCCCACGGGAGTCGGATGACTGCTTGGTGCTCTTGGATTTATTTTGTGCGATCGCTGCGTACTTTGGAATCCCAATAGCGGAAGAGTAGACAGTGGGGCCGGTGGTTTTTTTTGTCCTATTTGGGTATTGAGGTGGACACGCAGAGCATGGTTTTCCGGTTGCCAGAGGAAAAACTGAACCACCTGCTCCGGTTTGTGGACTCTGTGAAAGGGGCCAAGAAAGTGCAGCTTCGGCAGTTACAGGTCTTGTTGGGGCATCTGAATTTTACCTGTCATGTTTTATCGATGCGCAGGGCTTTTTGTCGTCGCTTGTCCTTGTCGAAGGTCGGAGTTACACAGCCTTTTCACTTTATTCGGATCAATCGGCGGCATCGGGAGGATCTTCAGGTGTGGAGTTACTTTTTGGGTAGGTATAACGGGCAATCCTGCTGGCTGCGCCCGGCAGTGTCCAACGGGGATTTGAAGTTGTACACCGATGTGTCCAGGTCAGTAGGCTTCGGTGCCTGCTTTCAGAGGCGCTGGTGCACGGAGGCATGGCCCCGCCAATGCAAGAGACTGAGTTGGTGGGCAATTTAACGTTCCTGGAGCTCTTCCCCATTGTAGTGTCAGTGGAGCTTTGGGGTGTAGAGTTGGCGAATCGGAAGGTGGTTGTGCACAAGGACAACATGAGTGTGGTTCATGTGATCAACCGATCTATGTCCGTGTCCCCTCCGGTGTTGGTGCTCCTCAGGCGCCTGGTCTTGCTTAGCTTATCGCATAATTTGTGGCTGGTTCCGTGTCATGTGCCTGGGGAGCTAAACGTTATAGCCGACTCTCTTTCTTGGTTTCAGTGGGACCGGTTTCGAGTGGCGGCTCCGAAGGCGCCGCGGACTGGAACCCCGTGCCCAGAAGGCGTATGGGACCTGGTTTCTGACATTTGAGTCGGATGGTGAGGGGGTCGTTGTCGGAGTCATCGTGGAGGTAGTATTCTGCCAGTGGCAGAGGTGGAGGGAGTTCTGCGCTGCCAGGGATGCTTCCTCGGATGCAGGTGGATTGTCAGTGACGCTGGCCTTATTGGATTCGCTCTGTGCTGAGGGTAAGTCGGCAGCAGTAGCTGAGAGACATTTGGCGGCCCTGTCGTTTCTTTTTCAGGGGTGTGGGTGGCAGGATGTTACCAAGGCGTTTTGCATCTCGTGGGTTATGAAGGGCTGGAAGAAAGGCCGTAGGCCAGACGCTCGGCATCCTATCTCCTATGAGATCTTGTGAAAACTCTTGGAATGTTTGCCCCAGGTTTGTTTCTCGGACTACGAGGTTTGTATGTTTCGGGCCGCGTTCGGCCTCTGTTTCTTTAAGGCCCTCCAGGTAGGGGAACTAGTGGCTCCCAGTACACGGGCTACGGCTGCCATGCAACTGTCGGTTGTCAGGGTTACGGTGGGCGACATGAGGTTGCTCATTCGCAGGTCCAAGACAGATCAGGACGGAGCGAGTTCTCAGTTTCGGGTAAGTGCGACAGGTGGTCCGTTCTGTCCGGTTAGGTTACTGCGGGAGTACCTTGGGGTCCGAGGGTCGGAGGTTGGTTCCTTGTTGCGGCATCGGGATGGGTCGTCCCTCAGCCACTTTCAATTTGCCAGAGTACTTCGGGCTTGCATTATGTGTGTTGGTGTTGGTCTGTCTCCGGGTTGTTATACGACTCAATCATTTATAATAGGGGCTGCCACGCAGGCAAGTCTGCTGGGCCTCCCTGCGGAGGTGCTCAAGCATTTGGGGCACTGGCAGTCGGGTCGGTTTCAGCTCTATCTGTGCCCCCACTTGCTGTACACCCTGATCCAAATTATTATGCAAATTCTATTTAAGTGTCACAAAGATTAAATATTTAGTTTTTCAGTTTAACTCATGGATGGATCGGACACCTGTGATAATTAGATTGCCAGGTGAGCCCAATTTAAGGAAAAACTACTAAAGGAGGGAGTTCCACATTATTAAGCAGAGCACCATTTTCATGCAATAAGGGGAAGAAACAGGATCTCTTTGCTGCCGAAAAAAGAGTGAAATAGTTCAATGCCTTGGACGAGGTACAAAACATTAGATATTTCATGAAAACTTAAGCGTGATCATCGCACTATTAAGAGATTTGTGGCTGATTCAGAGCACAGACGGGTTTGTGCAGATAAAGGCACATTGAGGAAGATTTCTGCCAGGTCCATGCATCGGATCAAGAGAGCAGCTGCTAAAACACCATTACATAGCAGCAAACAGATATTTGAAGCTGCTGGTGCCTCTGGAGTCCCAAGGTGTAGAGTCCTCCAGCGTCTTGCAACTGTGCATAAACCTTCTATTCAGCCACCAAAAACCAATGCTCACAAGCAGAAACAGTTGCATTGGGCAGAAAAATACATGAAGAATCATTTTCAAACAGTCCATTCATTGATGAATGCCATGCAACCCTGGATGGTCCATATGGATGGAGTAGTGGATGGTTGGTGGACGGCCACCCTGTTCCAACAAGGCTGCGACGTCACCAAGTGGTCCGTGGAGTCATGTTTTGGTCCGGAATCATGGGAAGAGAGCTGGTCGGCCCCTTTAGGGTCTCCGAAGATGTAAAGATGACCTCTGCAAAGTATGTGGAGTTTCTGACTGACCACTTTCTTCCCTGGTACAGAAGGAAGAACTATGCTTTCTGTAATAAAATCATCTTCATGCATGACAATGCACCATCTCATGCTGCAAAGAATACCTCTGCATTAATGGCTGCTATGGAAATAAAAGGAGAGAAAGTCATGGTGTGGCCTCCATCCTCCCCTGACCTCAATCCTATTGAGAACCTTTGGAGCATCCTCAAGCAAATGATCTATGAGGGTGGGAGGCAGTTTACTTCCAAACAGCAGCTCTGGGAGGCTATTCTGATATCTTGCAAACAAATTCAAGGAGAAGCTGTCCAAAAACTCACAAGTTCAATGGATGCAAGACTTGTGAAGCTCCTATCAAATAAGGGGTCCTATGTTAAAATGTAACGTGACCTGTTAAAATGTCTAAAAAGTTAAAATGTTGTTATAAGTTTGATTGAAATAGCTTTTGATTTCAGTAAATATGCTGCAAACACAACAAATGACAATTTTCAGTTCTTTACAACCTATAAAGTGTTATGACACTTACTGTGCGTAATAATTTGGAACAGTGCATTGTAAGTTTTTTATGTTTAAAAAAAAATACTGTTAACATTAGGAGGTTTGTTCAATCAAATTTTTTTAGTTGTACTTTTAATAGTTGATAACATGAGAATTATGCTGACTGTTATTTACATCAAT